GTCCCCTTCTCCTCCTACTTTCCCAGCACCAGGGTCTTTTCCAAGGAGTCAGTTCTTCGCATCAGGTAGCCAAAGTATTGGAGTTTCAGCTTCAACACCAGTCCTTCCAATGAATATTCAGGATTGGTTAGATCTCCTTGCAGTCCAAGGGACTCTCAAGAGTCTTCTCCAATACCACACAGTTCAAAAGCATCAATTCTTCTGCGCTCAGCTTTCTTTATAGTCCAACTCTCACATCCATACATAACTCCTGGAAAAGCCATAGCCTTGACTAGATGGATCTTTGTCGGCAAAGTAATGTCTCTGCCTTTTAATATGCTGTCTAGGTTGATCATAACTTTTCTTCCAAGGAGCAAGCATCATTTAATTTTATGGCTGCAGTCACCATCTGCAGTGATTTTGGAGCCCCCAAAATAAAGTCTCTCACCGTTTCCATTGTTTCTCCATCTATTTGCCATGAAGTGATGGGACCGGATGACATGACCTTAGTTTTCTGAATGTTGAATTTTAAACCAACTTCTTCACTCTCCTCTTGTACTTTCATCAAGAGGCTCTTTAGTTCTTCGCTTTCTGCCATAAGGGTGGTGTCATCTGCATATCTGAGGTTATTGATATTTCTCCTGGCAATCTTGACTCCAGCTTATGCTTCATCCAGCCCAGCGTTTCTCATCATGCACTCTGCATACAAGTTAAATAAGCAGGGTGACAATATACAGCCTTGATGTACTCCTTTTCCTATTTGGAACCAGTCTGTTGTTCCATGTCCAGTTCTAACTGTTGCTTCCTGACTTGCATACAGATTTCTCAGGAGGCAGGTCAGGTGGTCTGGTATTCCCATCTCTTGAAGAATTTTCCACAGTTTGTTGTGATCCACACAGTCGAAGTCTTTGGTGTAGTCAATACAACAGAAGTAGATGTTTTTCAAGAACTCTCTTGCTTTGTCTATGATGGTCACAGCTTTGGGCATTCCATAAAACATGCTATACTTAGTTTTGTCAGCAGAGAGCAGCATTGAGTCAAACATTTCAAATTTGTCAGCGACTTGAACAATTCAGTCACAGTCCTCTTTTTGGAGCCCACCTCCCAGTCTTGGAAGGCCGCTTCTAATGAGCAGGAGCAGTTCCACTAGCCCCTGAAAAAGAAAGGGTCATACCGTTCACCACCGAAGAGTGACGGTTACAGAGGGCTGTAACTCAGAGCTCTGAGGAAGGGAAATATAATGATTGTGGTCTCAGGCAAAGCAGTGGTAGGCTGAGCCCTCCAGCCTGCAGCAGCCCCTTTGCCAAAGAAAAGGAAAGAAGGTCCAGGCACATATACTCAGATAAACCCCAAGGCAGGAGATGCTCCAGGGCCTGGGAGTCCCCCTAAAGCTCAGCAGACCCAGAGAGCGCCCAGCTGGCCCTCGTCTCCTTCTCTCCCCCACTACTCTCTTGGTACCTCCCCTCACTCTCACCCCACTACCCCATCCCTGAACGTCTTTCATCACAGTTTACTCTTGCTTTGGTCCAACTGGCCTCCTGTGAAGCCCTTCCTCGAACCCCTGAGCCAGAATAAGACCCGTCCTTTTAACTATACATGGCATTTTGTGCCTGTCTCTTAAAAACAACACATACATAGTTTAAATTTATTAGTTTGTTTTCATCTGTCCAAGAGAATGACAGAATTAACACTATAGATACAGGGATGTGAAATCTGTGATATGAGATGAGGCATAGGGCAATTGGTTGCAAGAAGCTGCTTATTTTTTGGTTAACACATAAAAGTTTTTCCTTCATACTTTCTTCAAGCATTTAAGTGCTCCTCTTGTGCCCTAAATTTGTGCTACTGGCGAAACCACCTATCTAGTTTTCTTCTTATTTTTTATTTTACCTTTCAAAATTTTTATTGGAGTATAGTTGATTTACAATGTCGTGTTATACGCTGGTTGAGAGCCTTCCCACTGTCTGCTTTGGATTAGATGGTAAATTGCTTACTTATCTTATATCCCTTGCCAAACTGTAAACTTCCTGAGACCAAGGAGCTAATTGTCAATCATCCCTCAAGAGTCACCTGAGATGTATTTCTTTTCCAGGAGAACTGCTTTCCCACCACTCCCCACCTCACCCCCAAAGCAGGCCTTGGTGTCCCTCTCCGGCCCTCCCACGGGCACCCTGCGCTTCATCCATCACGGCAGTCCTTACTCTGAGCCGTCTTAACATCCGCTTCCGCTGGTCTGGACCCACCCAGACACAGGCACAGATTGTGAAGTGTGTCAGAGCTGGGACGGATGCTTGTTTTTAATTGTCTTCCCAGCGAAGCATCTAGCAGGCTCAGTAAACCATTAATCCCAGAGCCCCTCACACCATGATCACCAAGGGTAAGCTCCTGCGCGCCCATGTTCAACCGGACGGCTCAGCTCAGCCCAGACTCCTAGGCACATCCGCGCACATGACCCAGGAATTCCCCGACGTCTGCCGGCAGCCAGCAGCCGGCAGCCGAGCTCCCTGACGTAACATGCATTCTTGCTCTGTGGCAGACCAGCTCTTCCTTTCGGGAGTCCGAGCACTGAGTTTCAGCAGTTAGGATCATTTCCGAGTCTCATGCTCTTCCGGCTCTATGTCTGTCTGCCCCTAGCCTGTCTGCTGCAGACAGACAGCAGCTACATCTATTCATGACCAAAGCCCAGCCCACACCAGGTCTGGAACTGAGGAGGTCTCTTTTCTCTGAAGACTTGGGCTGTCTCCGCTTGCCCCCTAAAAGGAGATTCACGTTCTGATCAAAGGAAGCTGAAGTAGGGGTGGGGAAAGTCTAAGAGGTACAAGGAATCTCCATACCCCCCAACCCCCACCTCATCCCCCAGCCCTGCAATAGGCAGTTTAGATGGGAACAGAGGGAAATCCCTCAAGTCTTTGAATTCCACTGCATATGCATTCTTTTAGTTCATAAAAGATTACTGAGTGCATTTTTGTGCCTAGCAATGGGCTATGTATTAGGGATACCTGGAGTCTAGATTAGGTCTAGATTAGTCTAGACTTCATAGGGGTCTAGATCAAGCTTGAAAGGAAATTTTAGATTCATCTGTACAATTCTTTCACCTTATTTATGAGAAAATATTGATTCATCTGGCTAACTGTCTCACATCTTTCAGGTCTCAGCCTAAAAGGCTCTGTCTGCAGGAAGCTGCCCCAGACCAGCCTCTTCCAGAGAGGGCTAGAGGCGCCCTCCAGAAATACACCCCAAGGGCATTCTGTTCGCCCCCATCATGGATACATCTGCCTCTGTCTAGGATTTGCTTGTTTATTTTTCACTAAATTGAGAACTCTCTGAGGGCAGAAGCCACCCTGTCACCTTCGGATCCGTAGGTAGTACCTAGTAGGCACCAGTGTTTGCAGAATGACTAAATGATGGGGTCAAAGGCCACAGACGCAGCAGGTATCAGTCAGAACTAGAACTCAGGGGTCCTAACACTCAGCCCTGTGGCTGCTCTTATATTACCCATGCTTCCTCTTGAGAGCCTTTATCTATCTAAATGGCCCCAGCTAGCTAGATCCCAGGAATGGATGCTAATCTCATTGCAGAAAGGAAACAGCAGGTCAAGGGAACTTTCACCTGGACCTCATTCTGTTTTCAGATAATTCAGAGCCAGAGGGGAGGCTGCAGAGAGGAGAATGCCAAACTGGCTACCACCTCCTGTGGCCCTCCAGATTTGGGGTTGGCTTCCTGAAAAAGTGGATCCTCTGCAGCTACAAAGGAAGCCAAGAGCCCCATTCTCCAGCCCTAACTCACACTATAAAGGACAGTGGAAGTAGGAAAGTGGGCAGACTAAATACAAAATTCAGACACTGGGGGTCTAATCCTTCTTGATCCTCAGCCTGCCCTGAATACACAGCTGGAGGCAGCATCCTCCTGGGGCTTCTGAATCCCAGCTCTGCCATTTTCTCACCAGCTGTGTGGCCTTGGACAGAATAATACACCCTTCACAGGACTGAACTATTATGAAGACTCAAGGAGAGATGTTCCTTTCTCCCCATTACATCCCACATTTAGAGGAAAGAGTAGAGCCAATGGATAGTCTCTTTTCACTCTGTATGACACTCACAATGGGGACTGAGGATTCTGCTTCAGACCTTAAAAACCAGACTCGAAAACCACAGAAAGAAAAACTTGAATGGGCAGCTATTTACAAGTTAAACAGTAGGAGTGTAATATATTTTTTAATGAATGGATGTTTCCCATTGGCTCTACCTCCTTCCCCTACTTCATCAGTTCTACCACATCCTGAGGAACTCACTCAACCTTAGAAGCCTTATTAGGAACGTCCCAGAACTGCATGTCTGGGATACAGTCAAGGTTGATCGGACCGAAGGCAGAAGAACTCAGAACCCTGAAATGGCTCTCCCCTAGCCCTCCAACTTGAGAGTTTGCCTCCATTCCAATCCATCCCTTTTTTCCACCTTATGATCTCCAAGAAGTGGTCGAGTAACTTAATGGATTTTGACTTGGGAGAAGCAAATTACTCAGGATGGAGAATCCTTTGGGGAACTGTATCATTGTCGGTTTGCCTCTTGCCAACTCAGAACAGCACGGTGAAAGGACAACAGGTGGCTCAAGGCAGGACCAAGAGCCTCTGAGAGGCAGAGAGCTGTGCAGGGGCTCTCCAAGCTTCTGGGTCCCGGTAGCACCGACCGCAGCCCGCCCCGCCCCAGCTGCCGCCCCGCGCGCCCCTTCCCCTGCAAGCCCCCCCCGGAGCCCGGTGGGCGGGGCTTCACTGTCACTCTCCTCGCCGCGCGGGAGGAGCCAATGCCAGCGGCCCTGGTCACGCGCTCTGGGCGGCCCGACCAATGGGCGCCTGGAGGCGTGGCCCGCCCTCGGGCTCCAGGCGTTCATAACCGCTTGCAGGTCCGCGCCGGCTCGCGAGCGCAGGTGCAACCGTGGGTTCTCGGGCGAGAGCTGTACAGGTGTCCGGGTCCCCGGGTTTGCTGCACCGCCGATCCCCCTCCGCCCGCGCCAGCCGTCTGCCCATGGAGTCCTTGCCTTTCCCCCGGCGCCTCGGCCCTGCGCCCTCGGCCACTGCCGCGCTGGCCGCCGAGCTGGTCCGGCCCCTGGCCGACGGGCTTCTCAAGTCGCCCAAGCCCCTGATGAAGAAGCAGGCGGTGAAGCGGCACCACCACAAGCACAACCTGCGACATCGCTACGAGTTCCTGGAGACTCTGGGCAAGGGGACTTACGGGAAGGTGAAGAAGGCGCGGGAGAGCTCCGGGCGCCTGGTGAGTGCGGCGTCCTCAGCGGCGCCGGCCGGCGGGCTCCGGGCTCGGCCACGCCGGTGGGGGGCGGAGGGTGGGCCGGGGGCCAGAGCCCTGCTTGGTGGGGTTGCCTGCCTTCAGTCTTCATCTTCGTGTGTGTGTGTGCGTGCGCGCGCGCGCGCGCGCTGATGGTGTTCTCTGTACATTTGTCTGTCCATGAGTGTATGGACAATGGTCGTGGACCTGAGAACCCCAACAACTGGTCAGCAAGTGGTGGTTTCCAAAGTGTGGCAGGGTGAGGAGACTCCCTAGAGATGAGACTTTAATGGGATTTTGTTTGTAACAGACTATCCAGTGGAGTAGCATGGGAAGAGGAAGTAAAACGCACTTGATCTTAGTAGGGGAGTAGTGCGTATGTGTAGCCGAGTAAATAAAGAAATGAGGCGTCCAGTTTCTCAGTTCAGTTTTGGTAGTTTGGCAGCCCAGGTGACTGTGGAGATATCCCTCCCTCCTGAGGGGCGTGGGTGGGTTTGACATTTAGGTCCTTGCCAGCTCTGACATTCAAAGTTTTATTATGATGTGTTTTTAATTCTGGTAAATGTGAAACCAGGCTCTGGTGAAAGATACCTTTGGATTTGGGGCCTTTTCAGGGACGTGACCTGTTCACTTGGGATGTAGGTGTGTACAGTAGTAGTAATCTGTGGGTTGTTGTTAGTTGCTCAGTCATGTCCAACTCTTTTGTGACACTATTGACTGTATAGCCCACCAGGCTCCCATGTCCATGGGACTGTCCAGGCAAGAATACTAGAATGGTTTGCCATTTCACTCTCCAGGGAATCTTCCCGACCCAGGGATCAAACCCACATGTCCTGCATTGCAGATGAATTCTTTTACCGAGTCACCGGGGGAGTCCTTTAATGTGTAGAACCTTATGCAGTTTATTTTCTCTGTACCCTGTTTCTCCTTTTGCGAAAATGAAGAAAATATGGGCTCCCTCAGAGTTTCTATGATGATTGAGTGAGATACAAATATGAATTTAAATTGTTTTCTGACAATAAAAATAAATAAGTAAATTGTTTTCTGACAATAGAACCCGCAATGAGAACTGATATTTATATTTGGAAAGACCAGCCCTAAAAGGATGGCAAGTTTGCCGAAGTTAACAGTGGTTTCCTAACTTGAGTTCAGTGTACATGGAAATCACCTGGGTGCTTATTGAAACCGCTTCTCTGGTTTCGCACAGGGAGGATTTCATTCTGAAGATCTGGGATGGGGCCAAATACTCTGTATTTTTTTTGGCCACACTGTGCAGTATGTGGGATCGGGGATCAAACCCGTGCCCCTACAGTGGAAGCACCAAGTCTTAACCACTGAACCTCCAGAAAGGTCGAAAGTGAAAGTGTTAGTGGCTCAGTTGTGTCTGACTCTTCATGACCCCATGGACTTTAGCCTGCCAAGCTCCTCCATCCGTGGGATTTTCCAGGCAAGAATACTGGAGTAGGTTGCTATTTCCTTCTCCAGGGGATATTCCCAACCCAGGGGTCAAATCCAGGCCTCCCACATTGCAGACAGACTCTTTACCATCTGAGCCACCAGAGAAGTCCCTAAATAATCTGTATTTTAAGAAGCCTTTTAAAAGCAGGTGGTTTAGGCATTGTTTTGCCAAATCCAGTTGGGTGCTGGTTATGAGATGTACATGTATGCGTGGCCATGGTTTGCCTATTGGCTATGGCAGCAAGTCACCTCCCCAGATTGTTTGCTTTTGCAGCCAGTAGCCGGTTTGAAATTCAGGAAGTCATTTCATTGGTGAAGGAGAGTGGATGCTGGGGAAAGGGAGTGGATTATGGCCCCATCAATAGAACCGAGTATGTTTTTCCTGCTAATGCCTGGCACAGTCCCCAGGTGCCCACTGCCAGGTTACAGCTATTGGGCAATCATGTACTTCCTGACTTTCCTTTTCTTTCTCTTTTTATAAAGTGTGACGGCCCAATAAGCCTCCAGGCTTGAGACTGCTGGACCCAGGCTTTGTTAGGGGCTCAGCTGAAAAATAGCTTCTTGTGGTTTGTGGCTCGTACCTCTTGTTGGCGGGCAGACTGGATGGGGGCGGGGGGAATAGGTGGCCCAGAAACTGAGACTGAAATTCAGAAATCCCATTAAGCTCTTGACCTGGGTCACTGCGTGTGTATGGGGGGTGTGTGTGTGTAAGAGAGAAAGGGAGAGATCATTGATTCTGGAATGAGATAAACCAGCTTTCAGTTTGCAAACCTCAGTGGCTGTAGGCAGAGACCCCAGCTCTTATTACATCAGAACAGAGAATTCAGAAGGTGCTCCCTGGCTTCGAGTCTCTTCTTGTCTCCAAGGAGCCAAGATGAGTAGGAATGGGACCTGCTCCCTGATCCATAGATCACCCTGTACTTCTGCCGGAAGTTTGCTCAGGGCCTCCGTCCTCCTGGGAGAGCAGTTCTACACGCTGCTAAACTCTGATTTCTCTAAATTCTGGAGAGGAATCCTCTTCTCCACTGCACCCCACTCCTGCCTCTTCAATGTCCTCCCTGAAGAGAGACCGACCTGGTGCCCCAGGAGAGGAGTTGTGGGAGCAGCCCACAACCTCCCCCAAAATGAACCAAGGTCTTTGGGGAAGAGGGTCAGAGGAAAGCCTGCTGGGTGACTTCCGCCCCATTCCCAATTCCCAGCCTGTCTGATGGGATTCTCAGGGGCCCGATGGGATTGTCTGGGGGGAGGGGCAGGTGGGCAGGACTAAGGGCTACTCCAGGAGGACATTAAAGGAAAAATAAATATTTGCTCTGGATCTTCTAGCTCTGAGTACATTCCTGGTATCCACATGATATTTCCTCCTGTGACTCTCCTAGCTCTCCTGACCTACGCCCTCCCGCAGGAAGAAAAGCACCTGCTGGGTGCCTGGAATGGTGGAGGCCACCGCAGCTGTTAGGTGGTCTGCATAGAGTTCTTACCTGCACGAGCGGAGTCCAAGGGGAGAGTGATCTGGGCCAGGGGAGCTTCTGTCTCATTTATCTATTGGATTGTTGTGTGGGATTTCAAAATGTTTGAACATGACCGAGATGGTCTGATTCCTTCATTGACAGATGGGGAAACTGAAGCCCAGGGAGGGCAGGTGACATGTCCTGGGCCTGGTTAGTGGCACGCCTGCAACATCGGCTCCTGACTTGACCACCCAGTGCGAGATGAGCAGAACTGAGCCTTGGACTGGGAGCTGGCAATGGGTTGAGCCCGGGCTTGCCTCAGTTTGCTCTGTCATTCCAGCAGTGAGCTCCAGCTGCCCTTCCCGGAGCTCCAGGCACACTGAGAATGGGAGGAGTCTTTGGGAACAACCCCCACCCCCACGTCCTCACTGCCTGCGCCCAGGGATCCTGAGTGGGTGAACTCCCCTACATTCGAGGCTTTTTCTTTGTCAGGAAAACTGCTCAGCTCAGCATCAGGGTGCAAGCATTAAAATCCCAGTTCTGCTGCTTCCGAGCCGTGGGACCTCTCTGTATCTCAGTTTCCTCATCTGTAAAGTGGGGATTATAATAATTCCTACCTCGTGGGGTTCTCCTAGGATTAAATAAGGTAATATGCATGTCAGCACAGTAGCTGACATGTCAACTACTATGTCAACACACATAGTAGTGTTACCCTCACAAGGCCGGCTTTGTCACGGTCCTCCTCTCCCTCTCCTGGGGAAGGGGGAGTCCCTCCATCCTGGGTCTGTCCTGCCCTGAGGAAAAGAATGGCTTGTGCTCAACTTTCTTAAGCCCTTTGGTCTCTGCCTTGTTCAGAGTCCCAGTCTCTCCTTTAGCCCCTGATCCAGAAAAGGGCTCCCACCTGGCCAGCTGCCAGCGGCCTCTCCTGTGCGGTGCTGCCCTCCCAGCTCCTGCTGCACCTGCCTGCTCAGGGCCGGGAGGGAGACTTTGGCTGCAGGTGACTCCTGTTCCCGGGCTTTGGCCAAGCTGTGCAGGAGGGCTGGGCAGGGAAGCGCCTTGTCTAGCAGAACGGGCCGGAGGGTGGCAAAGAAGGGGTGGGCACAGCGTGGAATGTAGGGGAGGTGGCGCCCCTCCCCTCAGAACCCATTCCTGGTCCCTGCCTGGTTCTCTGGAAGGCTTGGTGGGATGGTGAACCAGCCCCAGGCCTATCCCCACTCTGCCAGCCCAGCCCAGCTTCTCCTCTGTAATCCTAATGGGTCATCCTCCAGCTCCTCACCCTGCCTCTCAGAGGCAGCTGCTCCGTGAAAGGCCAAAAAGGAGTCAAGGATCTTGGCTCCAACTCTGGCTGATAGCTATGACCAGAGATGCCCAGCTTGTACCCTCTCTCTTGTCATCTGCAGCCAGTACCTGTAGATCATCTTTTTCTAAGATCTTTCTGCCATCCTCTCCAGGAATGCATATTATTCTTGATCTGAGTTCCTGTGGGGATTAGAAGGAGAGAAGGCAGTGTTTAACCAGTTAACCTCAGCACCCGTCTGTCCAACATGTTTGTCTGTCTGTAAGTGGGTTGATGGTGGCTGGTGGTACTGCACAGCTCGGCCCAAGGCAGGGTGTAGGGCATTCCCTTCTCCAGGGGTTGAAGGCAGGCCAGAGCATCTGTAAGGACCTTTTGTCTTCTGAGATGGTAGCTTCTCCACGCAGCAACCCTCTATCTTGGATCCTGACAGCCTGGCCTTGTTGAGGAACCTGGGAAGAATCACCTTCTGGACTTCAGTGTTTGCATTTGCAAAATGGGATGGGGAATTAGCCATGCTGCCTTTCAGGCAGGCAGGGCCACAGAAGCAAGAAGATCACTGGGCTGCTATCAATAGGAATTTTGCTCAGGCAGGTTAACATGGTTATGGCATGGGGCCTCTGAATAAGCCCATTATAACAATCCTTGGCCAGCACCTTCCTGGCATGGTAGCAGGTGACCCATTTCTAAAGAAGCTCAACAGAAAATGCTGGAGTTTAGAAGCGAGCTTGGAGATCCTGGTGTGCAAATTCATGAATAGTTCCTTTCCTTTCTTTCTGGTGTGTTCTTAAACCTTTCTCTCTGCCTGGAATACCCTTGTTGCCCCCCTTCAAAAGCCTATGTGCCTTAGCTTGGTAAACCCCACTCTTCCTTCAATATCTAAAATGAAGTTTTCTCCCAGGGGTGACTCGCCTTGCTCCTCCAGGCAAAGCTCTCCAGTGCTCTTGGAGCCCCTGGGCAGGCAGGGATCTCAATCACACTTGACTGGATCAAGGGCCTTGGTGCAGGGACTGTCTGGTTTTTGTCTGAATCCAACACCTACCGTAGTGCCAGACATGTAGTAGGCGTTCAGCGAATGTTTGGAGAATAAATGCCCTTTTATTTTTCAGATGAGGACATTAAAACCAGCCAGACCAGTTAACCAGATCATTTAAGTGACTTGTCTTGCGTTGCATAGCTCCAAAGGGGCAAATAAAGATTAGATACCTGGGCTCTTGGCACCTCTCCACTGATCTAATGTTCACATTTATGTTGTCATTATTGTGTTTCAGTTTCCTGGCCCTTCTGAGTAGGGTGGCCATGTAATATAACATCTCAGCCTAAATACTTCAGAGAGTAAAAAGGGCACTATTAATTACATGGGATGAACCAGGATTGTCCATACGCAGGTGGCTTTCCTGTCTCTGGGTGATCCGTTCAGCAACTATCTTTCTCTTCCTTTACTCTGGTCGCTATATTTTAATTCTAGAGAGTGGTTGCTCAACTATCTTGCATATGAGAACAAAGGTCCCTCGAAATGAATTCTAGTAAACAAGGTTAACTCCACCCATGCCTCACAAAAAGGGCAGAAAATCTTTTTTGGGCACTGGTCCCATCGGTCCCAGGGATCAGCCCAGTGACTTAACCAATAAATATTTATTTGTGATTTGTGTTCACCAGTAAACAGTTGAGTGTTTTCTGTATGCTGAGCTCCTTCTAAGCCTGAGCTGTTGCTATATCTCATATACTTTGACAGGCTCTCCAGCAGTTAGAGGCCTGTCTGGTGGGGCTAGGGTGGGTGGGGGAAGTGCCCCAGGCCCACCCGGGCAGTGACACATTGCTCTTCTTGTCTGTCACTTGCTTGAGGAATGACCTAACCTGTTTCCTTCCTGGGAAGTGCCAGCCAAACTGTGGTCTCCTAAGACTAGTATAGATAATGGCGGGAGGGACCTTAACCTTGCCCCCTGAGACCAGAGCTGGCAGGGGGATGGAACTGTCCATGGAGGATTAACAATTCTGGTTTTAATCGTAGGTTTCCAGAATGGATTTCAGGGTTCAACTTGTACACCCTCTACCCATGCAGTGACTCCTCCTAGCACCCCTCAGGGCCCTCTAGTTTTTTGAGACCTCTCTTCTGTTCCGCCTGTCTTCTTTAGAGCTCTGACCCTGCCTACAGTGATTTGCTCATCGTATATGTTTGTGTGTGCACAGTTGTACGTCTGAGATAGGCCTAGGTTTTGCATATGTATCGTAAATTCTCAAATATTTGTTTCATTATCTAAGTATGTGATTTATATGTGATTTTCCTTTTACATAAATAGATTCAATTTATGGCCCTTTTTCTGAAGAGCTGACGGTATTACCTGATTTTTAAAACAAAGAATTTAAAGAGAAAAGAACTAGTCCAAAATATCTCCCCTTCAGGGGGAGAAAAAGGGTATAGGAGAGGTGGTGAGGAACCAAGCTGCAGGTTGAAGCCCCGTAGTTGGAGGAGGATTTAAGCCCCTTCCCCCATCCCCAGCCCCTGTCCAGTTCTAAGCCAGGGATTTTTCTGCTTCGCTGGCTCCTTGGGGTCGTTTGGAGCAGGAGGGGTGGAGGGCGTGAGGAGACGCTGAGGCGCAGCCGGCCTGCAGCTGCAGCGGGGCCCCTGCGGGGGCGTGGGCAGAAGGCGCCATGGCGACCGCCCCTCGCGCCTCCATTGTCCGCGCCCGCCCAGCCGCCCCTCTCGCGAGCCGCGGCCCCGCTCCCCGGCCGCCCCTCTCGCGGGCCGCGGCCCCGCTCCCCGGCCGCCCCTCTCTCAGGGACGCTGTCCCTGGCCGTTGCTGGGGTGACCGGCCTTTGTGAGCGCGGCTCTGCGGATTACGGCGGTTCCGCATTCCTGGCTGAGGGGACACAGCCCCGCGGGCGCGTCGGAAGCAGGAAGCCTTTGTCTGCCCGGATCCCTGGGAAAGGGGGTGGGCGGCCGGCCCGCGGGCTCCTTTTGAACCTGGAGGGACGGCAAACCCTCCCGGGGAAGGACCTAGGGGCCGTTTTCCGCAGGTTTCTTACAGCCCCCCAGGCTCCGGGGAAGGGGGGAGGCTCGTGTTTGCGCTTCGTGCCCTGGGACAGGAGCTGTCAGGGCCCGCGTCGGTGACACCTCACCCTCCCCGGCCCTGGCGCCCGCGTGGCCGACTCCCGCGGCCCGTGGCATGTATAGGGCCATTTCCCAGAAGCAGAGGAGAGCATGGCATACATCCTCCTTAGTGCAGCCCGTTGCTCTCGGAGCTCCGAGGCCACGGGAGGACAGCAGAGCCTGGAGGGCCGGTTCGCCGACTGCCCGCGCTCCACGCACGCTGTTCCTCTGTCACCCTGCTCCGCGTGGCGGGACAGAGGCCCGGACCCCTCTGTGTCTAAGAGCTGTGCTGAAGCGGCTTCTTGGCAGTTCTTTCTCCATTTCCTCTGCCTCACTCCACCCTTCCTGAACCCACCGCGCGCACCAGCCAGAGTTTAATCCTTGTATGGAATGTTCACCTTTACAGACAAGATAGCAAAGCCCAGAGGACTCTGTTTAACTGTCTGGTGGTGTGTTGCTGGGGGAGAGACCTTACTATTCACCTGGACTGAAAAGGCTAGTACTTTTTTCATAACTTTTTTGGGTGATCTTTTTGTAAGCCGGGACTTCCTGGTGGTGCAGACGGTAAAGCGCCTGCCTACAATGTGGGAGACCTCGGTTCAATCCCTGCGTTGGGAAGATCCCCTGGAGAAGGAAATGGCAACTCACTCCAGTTCTCCTGCCTGGAAAATCCCATGGACGGAGGAACCTGGTGGACTGCAGTCCATGGGGTCGCAAAAAGTCAGACACAACTGAGCAACTTCACTTTTGTATGTGGGGTAAGACATATATAAAATTTACCATTGTCATCATTTTAAGTGTACAATTCAGTACATTCACAGTGCTGTACATCATTACCACTATGCATTTCCAAAACCTCTTCGTCATCTCAAATGGAAGCTCGGTATCCACTAGGCAATAACTGCCCGTCGCCTCCGCACCCCATCCCTGGTAACCAGCCTCCTACTCTCTGTAATGCGTGGTGTCTGTGTAGACAGACAAACGTCTGTCCTAGTGACTCAGATGAGTACAGCCGTGCAGCATTGGTCCCTGTGTGTCTGGCTTCTTTGACTGAGCATGCTTTCCAGGTCTGTCAGTGTTGGGCACATATTTATTGGTACTTCATTCTCCCATTGTGTGAACATACCATATCTTGTCTGATCAGTCATCCCTTAACAGACCTCTGGGTTGTTTCCCACCTTTTAGCTGGAGACTGTTAGTAGCAAATTAGAGGGCTGTGCTGGAAGAAGTATCAAATGTGGATCAACAGTGCAAGCCAGTCTGCCAGTGAGTGCCTGTGTGACGTTGAACAGGAAGGAAACAGCCTCTCTAGGAACGCGCTTCCTCACCTGGAAATGCGGATGGGGGTGCTTCCCGCGCCTGCCTCTCAGGCTGCTTGAGAGGGCCAGCTCAGTGACAGCTGCAACAAATGGCTATTCAGTGCCTACTGCGTGCCAGGCGCTGTGCTCACCACCCAGTGGGGAGCAAAAGAGGCCCAGTCTTTTCCTCGTGGTGAAGCAAGATAAATTTGCTTTGAATCACGAAGCATCAGCCTTACAAGTACACGTTGTTACCTACCGTCTTCACCTATCCGTACTCCAAGTGAGGTCATTGACTTATCTTCATTCCTGCTACATAAACTGCACCCAACCCAGGCAAGAATCTTCCGCAGAGAAGGTTCTCTCTAGCCTCTCTGATGCCCCAGTGAAGGGTGGAGAGGCTTCTCTGGCTGCAACCTATGGCCTTTGTAGCAGCTGGAGGCAGATCACCAGGGTCAGGGCTCCCCCAGAGTGTCCTCAGGGATGCCTTTGCTTGCCAGGACTTTCTCCTCACACTCCTGCATCCTCTGTTCCCAGGTGGCCATCAAGTCTATCCGGAAAGACAAAATCAAAGATGAACAAGATCTGATGCACATTCGGCGAGAGATTGAGATCATGTCATCACTCAACCACCCCCACATCATTGCCATCCACGAAGGTACAGAGGCAGAGCATTTGAAGCTGAGAGTGTGTGTGCGTGCACACGCGCAGTCAGAACAGATGACACACAGGAGTAAAAAAAGGCATGGGCTTTAGGCTTGGGCAAGAGCTGGATCTGAAGCCTGCTGGATGACTTTGGGCAACTAATTTAATGTAGTCTCTGGGTCTCAGTTCCTCTTTTGTAAAATGAGATAATCTCGCCTGCGTCACAAGGTTGTTGCAAAGATCAAATTTAATGTCACCAAGTATTCAGCTCAAGAAAGGAACTCCACAGATTGTAGGCATGTTTGTTCTTAGGTTTTCTGTACTTAAACACTGCCTCCCCAAACCCAATGAGAACCTTGGCACTGTGGGGGCAGCTGAAACACATGGAGACCTGCACCTGTCTCAGGCGTGTGGGTGCGATTTTTCTTTGTACGTCTCAAGAGCCAGGCCTGCTGTCCTCTGAATCACTCCCGCCGTGAGGCTGGTTCCTACCTGTCCTCGTATCTCTCAGCCTCCTCTTGCACTGACATCAGTGCTGGTTCTCCTCTCCAGCTGCCCTGCTCCCCGTGACCCAGACAACAAAGTGAGCGAGAGATGGTGACACGGGAAAGACAGGCAGCAGCCTCCCACACACGCCTGTCTGCTGGCAGCCTTTACATAATATCACTTAGGAAGCGAGGAATGGCAGGAGCAGCAGGAGGGAGGAGGGGAGCCTGTGGCTTTGCCCTCAGCCTGAATATTCCTGGTGGAAGGAAGAGAGGTCTCCTCGCTCAAGTTCTGTTTAGAAGAAGGCTTAAGAGCAGAACCACTGCCATGGTCCCCTGGCCTGAACCTGTCCCATGAGGAAGCCAAGCAAGTGGCTGAGAAAGCTAATTGTATCTCTGTGTATATCCCCCCAGGGGAGAGTGGGCAGATGATAGAGTATTGGTTAAGCCAGGCTAAGCTTGGTGGTGTGTGTGTGTATGTGAGAAATCTTCCCCCAACCCCTATCTCCAACTAGGTCTGGGAACTGTTCTTTGAAGCTTAGAATGTAACTGTTCTGTATTGCACCTTCAGAGTCAGCGGATGTTGGGGTATCATAGATACTATGTAACTGGCAGAGCTCTCCCAGATCCATCCCCATCCACAGACTTCAAGAGATCCGGACTAAGGAGAAAGCTCCAGTCCTGGGAACTGACCTCTAACACAGCTGCTCTCCAGAATGTGCCCTGGCTGGCTCCTGACCCCCAGTTCCGTGGCACAGAGTTTACACACACCCTGCAGGGTTGTGGAGACCCACAGGGTCTCAGGGTCTCTAGGTCTCTAGGCAGGCCCCAGTAGTCTGGGCCACGGTGCTCTCCTGGGGAAAAGCACAGTCTTCCTGGCCAGATACCCAGCTGCCTGGGAGCTTGGACTCTCCCTGAGAGTAGCCTACTCTCTCAACTCCTTCTCCCAGACTAGACAGGAATCGCTCTAAGGTTGGCTGAGCAAGCCAGACTCATAGGACCCGCTTGACACAAAGATGCAGTGTCATGGACATGCATGTTTTGACACACACCCAGCTGAAGGGCCAGTTTGATGAACCAGCCATTCCCTGCTTTTCCAGGAGAACAGACAAGGCCTGTGGTGGCAAGCAGGCCCCTCCCATATGTGGAGATGAGCCAGCTGGAATAGGCTGACCGCCAGGAGCCCAGCCAGTCAATTAATTATCAAATATTTATTGATTGTTTCTGTGTACAAGGCCCGGGCCTGAATACTCTGGACGGGAAATCAAAGAAGTTAAGAGTGATGAGTGTCTCAGCTCTCCGTGGATTACAAACCACTTTCATATGCTTTTATCCCTCTTCTGATCTTGTGGGTATTATTTTTCAAGTTTATGCATGAGGATGCTAATCATAACTATGACAGTAGGGACCATATATTGAGTGCTGGCTTGTCAGGCTCCACACCAGCTCGCTCAGCCAGCCCGAGAGCTGTCACTTGTTTTTTATCTATTTCTCGCCCCAGCCCTATGAAATTGCTGTCATTATCCCTCTTCAAATGAGGAAACTGAGGTGCAGATTTAATAAGTTGCCATGGTCACCCAGCTTGTAAGTGATGGGGCCAGGATGCGAATCCCAAACCTGTGTCTTTACTGATGTATCTGGAAGAGATTTGCCCAAGCAAAAAAGTACTGAATTCTGAACCAGGGAGCCTGACTTTTCATTCTTATCCAGTGATGTCTCAGAATTCTTAGGGTAGTTGTAAGAATGCTCAGAAGCCTGAACTTCCAAGGGGAGGGAGGTGAGCCAGTCCTTTTGGCCTGAACTCATCGCTCCTGGAAGGCGCTGGGAGCATCAGCGGGCAGCCTCCGCGCCCTCTTACAGACGTCTGGTTTGGGGCCGGGAGGAGGGTGTGGCCCCTGGCGGGAGCGAGCTGACTCCGAAAGGCCTGACCCCGCTGCCCCCGCCGCCCCAGTGTTTGAGAACAGCAGTAGGATCGTGATCGTCATGGAGTACGCCAGCCGAGGGGACCTGTATGACCACATCAGCGAGCGGCAGCGGCTCAGCGAGCGCGAGGCCAGGCACTTCTTCCGGCAGATCGTCTCCGCTGTGCAGTATTGCCATCAGGTGCGTGCCCGCCGGCGCCAAGGGGGTGGTCCCTGGGCCCGGCGGCTGGCTTCCCCAGAGAGGCCCCGTGACGCCGGGATCACACAGGGAGGAAACCAAGGCGAGGTGTGATTCTTCACTCAGCGGAGGGAGTGTTGGCATCTCTGGCTTCAAGTCTCTTGGCCGGGGTTGGAAGGACCTGTGGTTTGTTGTGCCTGTGGCGGTAAAGATGGGCTCCCTGCCTATCTGTGCTGACCTCCCTTTGATGCTTCCTCACTGTCCAGGATAGGTCCTCAGGTCCGTCTCTCCTGATGGCCTTCCCCTGACCCCTGCCCTCCCCCTTTCAGAACGGGGTTGTCCACCGGGATCTCAAGCTGGAGAATATCCTCTTGGATGCCAACGGAAATATCAAGGTGAGCCTCACTTCTTGTTTAAAACTGCTCCCCTTCCCCTCGCCAGACCGTCTGCACTGGCTCCAGCTAAGCATCTTTAAGTCTCTAGGGGGGTTGCAGAAGGAGTTGAGTACTGGTAAGGACCTCAGCCGTCCTCCATTTCAACACTTCCCTCTGTGGGTTGAAAACTGAGGCCTCACGATAAGGAGTGTCTTGCACAAGGTCCCATGGCTAGCAAGGTCAGCTGGAACCAAAGTCTTCTAACTCCCTCAACGTCACAAGGCTGAAGGAGTCTAGATCGAGGGTTGGTTTCGCTCACAGCCTTAGGATTGGCAGGGAGAGGCCATGGCCTGCATTTGCCCCACCTGCATATATGCACAGATGCATGCACACATACACACGTATGCATGCGCACTTTAATCTGCTACAATTAAGCAGCCCTTTGGCACCTTTCACCACAGCAAGCACTCCAGCGCCAGCTTCCTGCTTCCTTCTGCTGCTGAATTCCCATGGCTAAGTAGTTAAATTTAGGTCTGAGAAGTTCACGTTGAGGTGATAAGCTCGGATCTCAGGGCTGGAAGAGGCAGAGAGCAAGAGCTTGCCCTGCAGACACCTGGGAGGGCTCTGACTCTGCACTTGGACCCTCCTCAGAATCTTCCCGAATTCAGGCCACAGCCTCTTCCCCAGTGGCCCCTGACCTGTGCCCTGAGGTGCCCTGAGTTCATTCTCCTTTCCAATTCCTGGAGCAGGTGGGGCTCGCTTTGATGCGGACCAGGGAGGGGGATGCCAGAGCCAATAAATACACATAATCCAGGCAGGCCTGAACTTTCCCATCTGTACCAGTCATCTGCCTCGTTATGGGCAATAGGTAACTGCTTGATAAGAGGCCAATAAAACCCATAAATGAAGGAGCCAGAGTTCATAAACAGCTCCTCCCTACTCTGGGCACACATGACCCTCTACTGGGGAGGAGGGCTGGGAGCAAAAGGGCGTAGGTCTCAGCCTCTGTCTGAGGAGAGTTGGGGGAAGGGTCTCTCTGAGGAGCGAGAAGATGGGCTTGGGGGCCCTCAAACCCCCAGTATCAGAGGGCTCAGGAGTTCCTGTAAGATGATCCCTTCTCCTGGGCCATGATGATGGCCCTAATCTTTGCTCTGCCTTCACTGTGGCTTCTCAGGTCTCCTAGGCTGACCCCAGTCCCCCCACCCCTTTCCCGCCTGGATGTGGGCCTAGATGAGCCCTTTGCTGGGAAGGGCACCCCAAGCCCATGGGGTGACTGTGTTCTGAGGTCCTCGGCGCTGATACGGGACACTGTCTCTCTCCCTCCAACCAAGAGCCTGCCTTCAGTCACTAAGTGGCCATTAGTCCCGTCAACGGGTCACAGCTGTGCTGGGAGCTGCAGGAGGGGTGGGGGCAGGTGGCCCACGAGGGGAGCGTATCGACATGGCTACATGAGGAGACAGAACTGACAAGCAGGGGCTTCTGTGAGCCGTTGGAACCTGTACGGCTTAATGGGAAGAGGAGATCGCAGGGCAGTGGAAGGCTTCCTGGGGGAGGTGGGCCTTCTGGGTTTGTAGGACGTGTGTAGGCAGAGTGAGCATCCGTGGAGTGGAGTGCAGCATGAGCGAAGGGCCTGGGGAACAGTGAGGACCTGGGGCTCCCCTCATCTCTGCCCAGGCACACCTCACTGACTCAGCCTCTGAGGGGCTCGCTCTTCCGGGGCCTGAGCTGTGTTGGTGGTGCCCAGTATGGGGCAGGGGTCATGGGCACCCTTTGCTCCTGCCAGGGCCTGTGTCTCCTCGGGCTCTGGAGAGGGGCAGACCAGGAGCTACAGGACAGTCCAGGCCTTGGCGTGACCCTGTCCCTGTTTGACACAATCCTACAGATCGCCGACTTTGGCCTCTCCAACCTCTACCACCAGGGCAAGTTCCTGCAGACATTCTGCGGGAGCCCGCTCTACGCCTCGCCCGAGATCGTCAATGGAAAGCCCTACACGGGACCAGAGGTGAGTGCCTGGCCTCCTCCTAATCTCTCGGCTTAGATCTTGAGAGAGGGATGAGCTGGTTTTCTAATGATTCCCTTTCTCAGATTGCAAGACTCACTTCCCCGCCAAAGCAGTGCCTAGCCAGTTCTGTAGCTGGGAGTAGCAAAACTGGCATGAGAGCTGAAGGCCCCTGACCCCTGACAGCCTGGCTCTGTGCCCCACACCTTCTGCATTCCCATTACCTCTCCTGGCCCCCGGCCAGCCTCCCCAAGCTGAGGCAAATGACAACACCTCTCTCCGTGAATCTCAGTCCCTTCTACAGTATGACCCTCTCTGCCCCCGGGTCCTCGGATGCACCGGGCTCTGGGTTCGCCCTGCGGCATGAAGACCTCCTGGCTGACCTGGTCTCTCCCTCAGGTGGACAGCTGGTCCCTGGGCGTTCTCCTCTACATCCTGGTGCATGGCTCCATGCCCTTTGACGGGCAGGACCACAAGACGCTGGTGAAACAGATCAGCAACGGGGCCTACCGGCAGCCTCCTAAACCCTCTGGTGAGTGAGGGATGTGGGCATTCTCACCCACACACTGGGTGTCCTCTGCTAATTCCTGATGCAGGAATTAAACAGTGACAGGAAAGTGGAGCTTCCCCGGTGGCCCAGACTGTAAAGAATCTGCCTGCAAAGCTGGAGACTGAGGTTCGATCCCTGGGTCTGAAAGATCCCCTGGAGAAGGGAATGGCAACCCACTCCAATATTCTTGCCTGGAGAACTCCATGGACTGAAGGAATTGTCTGCAATTGTAGCCTGGTGGGCTACAGTCCATGGGGTTGCAGAGTCAAATGTGACTGAGCTATTTTCACTTTCACTTTCCAAGTGAAGATGGCAACCCACTGAAGATGAAGGTGCCTTCCACCCCACCTCCTGCTCTTATCTCTTTGCCTCCTGTGTCTGTGACCTGCAAGGATGGAGGGGCTGGATCTTCCTTTATGGGCATGCTTATTTGGGAAGTGCCTCCTAAAGCCTAGTTTAGATCCTCTTTGCCACAGTTGTCTCATTTCCTACTATGTTTGTCCTTAGAAATCTTTTTGTCCTTTCATGTACGATGTATGAGGTGAGAAGAAGGGTGTGAGGACCTTGGTATATTCTTGAGCGGCAACCCCCACCCCAGCCCCACCCCCAGAAGCCTGCATTTCATTGGAGCAAAGGAGCACACATGTAATAAACATGGCTATGGTCCTGAGGCCCTGGAGACTGGGGAGCCTGCCTGGGGGCACAGCTGACCTGGGAGGGAGCCCCATCTTAGCATCCGTGGGGTGAGCTGGGAGGGACACTGTGGGTGCCCGTGCTCGTGGCTACAGAGCTGGAGCCTCTGTCTCTTTCCTTCTAGATGCCTGTGGCCTGATCCGGTGGCTGTTGATGGTAAACCCTACCCGCCGGGCCACCCTGGAGGACGTGGCCAGCCACTGGTGGGTCAACTGGGGCTATGCCACCCGTGTTGGGGAGCAGGGAGCCCCACACGAGGGCGGGCACCCTGGCAGTGACCCTGGCCGGGCCTCCGTGGCTCAGTGGCTGCGACGCTCCTCCCGCCCCCTCCTGGAGAACGGCGCCAAGGTCTGCAGCTTCTTGAAGCAGCAGGCGCCGGGTGGCAGGGGCCTCGCCCCTGGCCTGGAGCGCCAGCACTCACTCAAGAAGTCCCGCAAGGAGAACGCCATGGCCCAGACCCTCCAGGGGGCCCCGGCTGCCGACACCTCCCCTCGCCCTGGGAAGGGTGGCCTCAAGCTGCCGAAAGGCATTCTCAAGAAGAAGACGTCGAATCCCACAGAGGGGCCGAGGGAGGACCCTGAGCCTGGCCCGAGCCCCGCCAACCCAGGCCAGGCTGGCCCGCTGCTCCCAAAGAAGGGCATCCTCAAGAAGGCGCGCCAGCGGGAGTCCGGTTACTACTCGTCCCCTGAGCCCAGTGAGTCTGGGGAGCTCTTGGATGCCGGGGACGTGTTTGTGAGTGGGGATACCGTGGAGCCCAAGCCCCCGCCAGCCTCGGAGCGGCTGCCGCACCGCAAGGGCATCCTCAAACACAACGGCAAGTTCTCGCATGCGGCCCTGGAGCACACAGCCCCCGCCACCTTCGGCTCTTTGGATGAACTGACCTCCCCACACCCTTCAGCCCGGGCCATCCGCCCCTCGGGGGCTGTGAGTGAGGATAGCATCCTGTCCTCTGAGTCCTTTGACCAGCTGGACTTGCCCGAACGGCTCCCCGAGCCCCCACTGCGGGGCTGTGTGTCTGTGGACGACCTCATGGGGCTGGAGGCACCCCCCTCGGAGGGCCCTGGAAGCCGAGGCCTGAGGCGCTGGAGGCAGGACCCCCTGGGGACTAGCTGCTTTTCCCTGTTGGACTGCCCGGAGGGGACAGAGGGCTGCCAGCAGGGGCTGAGGGTCTGCTCGGAGCTCAGCTGAAGCGGGGTGGGGGTGGGCATTGCCCGTGCAGGCAGGCTCTGAGATGCAGCTGGATGCACTCTGAGGGGGAGACTGCCTTCTTCCCTGCCTCCCAGGACCCGCATCCCAGCCCAGAAGGCTGAGGTGGTTCAGTTGAGCCCTGGGAAGGGCTGGATGTGGGCAGTGGGCAAGTGAAGTGTGTTGAGGGTTCAACGTCTTCAGCCCCGTGGAACCAAAAAGGTAGCTCTAGAGGGGAAATGAGTAGAGAAGCAGCGAGGAAGGCCTGTGGCCGAGTCCAGGTTGCCTGTGGCCGAGTCCAGGTTGCCTTGCCCATTGCACCCTCTGTGAGGGGGTTGACGCCTTCTTCTTGAGAATGCCTTTGGAAGCTTGAGGCCGCCCTTACCAGGGCGAGGGGCAGCGTCCTCCTGGAGGGTCTGGGCCATGTAGCTCTTACTCCTGGACTTCTTAAGCAGATGCTGGCGTCACAGCCACTGAGCCACGGAGGCCCAGCCAGGGTCGCTGCTGGGTGCCCTCCCTCCTGCGGGCACAGGGTTGCCTGTGCTCTCCCTATATTAGGGCCACAGAGAGCTGGAAAAGGCGCTCTATCAGTGCCTAGCCCCTGTAAAGAGTAAGTTTGTGTGTGATGCCGTCCTGCCAAGGTGGGGCTGGAAGCTCTTCATTCACATACACATTCCCTTCTTCACCAACTGTTTCAGGAATGGGGGCCCCTTTCAGGGCCCGGAACTGGGCTCTTGTCTAACACTCGGAAATGAATTGTCCGAGGAGACACATGTGCTGACAAAGCAAGAGACTTTATTGGGAAAGGCACCCGGGTGGAGAGCAGGAGGGCAAGGGATCCCAGGAGGACTGCTCTGCCAGTGGCTCGCAGTCTCGGGGTTTATGGTGATGGGATTAGTTTCCAGGTTGTCCTTAGCCAATCATTCTGACTCAGAGTCCTTCCTGGTGGTGCACGCCTTGTTCAGCCAAGATGGATGCCAGAGAGAAGGATTCTGGGAGGTGGTTGGACATGTGGTGTCTCCTTTTGGCCTTTCCCGAACTTTTCCAGTTGGTGGAGGCTTGTTAGTTCTGTGTTCCTTAGCAGGATCTCTTGTCATAAAACAACTCAAGCAAACGGTTGCTATGGTGCCTGGCCAGGGTGGGCGGTTCCAGTCAGTGTGCTTCCCCTGACAGAACCACTCAAACTGGAATGTGCCCCCCTGCCCAGTTTTCCCTGGGGTGGCTTGGGAATGGTCTCCTAGAGTGGGCCCTTCCTTACTTACCTGAGCAGTAAGAGAATACAACCTCTGTTTCCTCAAAGGATCTCTCCCCCTTCCCATTCTCCAAACCTGGAAAGTGAAAGTGAAAATAGCTCAGTCACGTCTGACTCTTTGCAACCCCATGGACTGTAGCCCACCAGGCTGCAATTGCAGACAATTCCCTCAGTCCATGGAGTTCTCCAGGCAAGAATACTGGAGTGGGTTGCCATTCCCTTCTCCAGGGGATCTTTCAGACCCAGGGATCGAACCTCAGTCTCCAGCTTTGCAGGCAGATTCTTTACAGTCTGGGCCACCGGGGAAGCTCCACTTCCCTGTCACTGTTTAATTCCTGCATCAGGAATTAGCAGAGGACACCCAGCGTGTGGGTGAGAATGCCCACATCCCTCACTCACCAGAGGGTTTAGGAGGCTGCCGGTAGGCCCCGTTGCTGATCTGTTTCACTAGCGTCTTGTGGTCCTGCCCGTCAGAGGGCATGGAGCCATGCACCAGGATGTAGAGGAGAACGCCCAGGGACCAGCTGTCCACCTGAGGGAGAGACCAGGTCAGCAGGAGGTCCTCATGCCGCAGGGCGAACGGAGTCGCTGCTGTGAATCTCAAAGACTTGAAAAGGCTCAGGCTGCTAATGGACTTCATCTCAAGGGGCTCAGATTCCCCTGGACCCCACTTTGGACCTCAAGGACTCTGAACTTCTCCAGCCTCCAAGCTGCTCCTGCTGTTGAGAATGGATGTATCTGTTTCTCTTAGGGCCTTTAGGGCCCTAGAAAGTTCTTATTTATTTTAATGTTTTCAGCTCTGTGTTTTTAAAAAAGCTAATGTTACTATTTTCAATAATGTGAATGCTATGTTCTGGGGAATTCCACTATGACATCTAAGTTTTGTGTACAGGGAGGTATTATTGCAGTGCTTCCTTACTGATTAAAAGCTGTGGGGGTGAGAATCTTTTGTAAATCTACATGTCCCATTGCACTATCTGGAAGGGGTCTCTGGCTCCCTGACTCCATGCCCTGATTCTGGCTACCTGATGGTCCCTCTTCCCTCATGTGACTAGAAAGAACTACCCCATTAAAAATGAGACTGGTGATTGGAAAATAGCTTCAGTCATTTTGTTTGGGTAGTGGGACACAGATCTTTGAGTTTTCTCCTAACACCTCCTTGGACTCTGGAGTGAAAAATGGAGAACCTGCTTAATGAAAGCAAAACACAACAAAAACCTGGCTCTTAGCTCCAAAAGACTTGCAGGTATATCTCCAGCAGCAGTTCTGCCCTTGTAAGCACAGAGGGGAGAGAGCCCTGGACTGGGGGTCCCAATTTGCCCTTTCTGCCTTTAGCACTGAAGAACTGGGTTCATCAGGTTATATAGCCCTTCCATTCCTCCCCCACCCAGCGCTGTCCCTCGCTGCTTGAAGGCACCCTGGCCACCTTTATTCTCTCCTTCCAAAGAAATCCTTTTCCCTCTAGTGCTGGGCAGCTTCTCCGCACTCTGCGCCCAACTGCCTGGCTCCTGGAGGATGTAAAGAATGCCTGGAATGCCCCCCTCATTGGACAGCCCTCTCCACCCCCTGCAGAGCATTCCCCGGACGCCAGTTCCATTGAGAAACTCCCAGGCTCCGGGGGCCAGGATGAAAGGGAGGATAAGGACAAAGTGCAGGTCCGCAACTGGCTGGCTCTGGCTCCAAGCAGACTCCCTCCCCCATCCCTTACCCGCCTCTGCTGTGCACAGGCCCCCAAACAGCCCCAGTCCTGGCCAGCTCCAACTGCCCGCTCCGCACACACCTGCCCTCCCGCCAGCCTGCAGTGCCTGCTGGCGTGGAGCACCTGCCCTCTCCCCCTTCCCTGCTGTGCGAAGCTGGCAAAGTTGCTGAGTCTGGGAAAGAAGTGAGGAGGCCAGGTGACTGTGGGGTCAGGATGGGAAAGGAAGCAAACTGTTCCGGCTGCAGATGGGATATTTCAGTCTGATATCTTTGTTTGTGGTCCAAATGAATGCGGAGCTCTGTGTCAAACTCTGGGTAGACATAGGAAAAGCTTCAGAGAGAATCTTTACCCAAGAAGCAGAGAGTTCAGATGTGGAGTCAGCTGTGTTCGTTTATTCACTGACTCAGGAAAAAAGTGAAAGCTCTGTGAAAGACAGGTAATTGCTCTGTTGCTGGTGCAACACAGATTTTAACCTCAAAGAGGATGCAGACTGAACAGCAAGCCAGCATGTATTAAAAATAAAGTTCAATAGAAAAATTGTCAGTTCAGATAATGGTGAAGGGGAAATGGGGTGATGGAAAATAATTGCAATTTAGGAGGTAACAGGGGCTACCATTTAAGTGCTTATGTATCAACCACTTGGTGATGGTGGTTTAATCACTAAGTCATGTCCAACTCTTGTGACCCCAGGGACTGTGGCCCCCCAGGCTTCTCTGTCCATGGGATTCCCAGGCAAGAATATTGCAGTGGGTTACCATTCCTACTCCATGGGATCTTCCTGGCCCAGAGATCAAACAGTGTCTCCTGCATTGAAAGTGGATTCTTTACCACTGAACCAGCAGGTGAAAGTGAAAAGTGTTAATCACTCAGTCATGTCCAACTCGGTGACACCAGGTTTTCCATGGGATTTCCCAGGCGAGAACACTTGAGTGGATTGCCATTTCCTCCTCCAGGGGATCTTCCCATCCCAGGGATAAAACCACATCTCTTGAAATCCAGGTCTGGGGGAATGCCAAATTTCAGCAGGAGTGGGCGATGTGGGACTTATTTAATCTAGATAGGCTTTGGAGAGTTGGGAGAATACCCGTGAATATCAGTGAATGGAACTACAAATGTGCAGGTCCTGCTCTTGTCTAGACATAATGGGGTAGCAGTTATTTCTGTTCCAAATGCCTTCCCCTTCCCTCCAAAGGCTCAAAAGGGAGCTGGAAAAGCAGAGGGTGAGTGAGAACAGAGAGAAGCTGGTGTGGGGAGCCGGGATGACAGAAGGGACACCACAGCTCCAGCAGCACATCCCACCAGCACTGCTGGGGGTGGACTGTCTAAGACGCGGCTGTGTCTGGGAAAGCTGTCAGTTGTGTCCAACTCTCTGGACCCCACGGACTACACAGTCCATGGAATTCTCCAGGGCTGAGATCTTTTGTCCTCTTTGAGGTTTGTTTGCTTGATCTCTTTCAAGCCAGAGGCGGGGAGGGTGGGCAGGAGAGAAGGGACCTGGGAGGTGGACAGGCCGCTGGGGAAAGAGACTCTGGGGGGGTAGAGAGTATCTTATACCAGTCCCTAAAGAGACCCAGGCTCTGGGGATGTGGATTCCATATTGCTGGGCCCTTCCCCTCACCTGCCAGATGCTTCATACCAAAAACATTCCAGAAAGTAGACTCAGAGAGATGACTCTGAGCCCCAGGGGGGATGTCTGGGGCCCTAGGAATATTTAGTGCCACATCAGCGCTTCCGGAATGTGAATAACCCAGACAACCACGGGGGGGGGGGGGGGGGGCAACTTTGGGAGACAGGAAAGGGCCTTCAGAAACCAGACCAGAAAGTCTTGGTCAGAATTCTCTCCACGCCCTCAGCCCTTCCCTGGGGCAAGTCCATCCAGGCTGTCCTGGGTGGAAACCCCCTCGCTGCGGAGCATGGAGGCTCCACTTGAGACCCCTGCGGCACGTCAGAAGGAGCAGTCCGATCCCCCCAGGACCCCATCCAGTTGGGCTGCCTCGGACCCTTCTGGTGGGCTGGCGGGAAGGGGAAATGGCAACTCAGATGGGTGGGGAA